AATTTGTTTTTTATACTACCAGTGTGTGGCCAGCTTTACTTGTGTACTTGTCAAAGTTTCCTATAAAGTGCCTAGCCCTAAATGTGCTCTCCCAAGAGCCCAAAGGCCCTGGGGCACCAGGATTGTGCTTTTTTTTTTTTTAGGAAAACCTTTTTTTTCTTATTTCTTCAAAAATAATCCTGGCCTCACTTCTGGCTGGCTCGTGGCATCCTGCCAATCAGGAGGCACCAGTACCATTATGTAGTGGTGGGGAGAGAATCCTCAATCCTGTAAGATCCCACCAGGATCGGCCTGGAACTTACACAAGCCCTCTTAGCCTAGCGAACAAGCTATGGTGGAGCAAGGGGAAGCATAAGGTACCAGGAGGACAAACTTTAGGGCTCATTCACATGGGCATTAAAAATGCTGCATACAAAAGCATGCACCTACTAGTTTTTGTATTATATATTTAAAAAATGGACCACGCTAAGGTCGCAAATTGACTAAATAAACTGTGTGGCAATCTTTAAAGTGATAACAATGAGCACAATGCAAATAAAATATTAATATTCAGTCCCAACATGTGAATAATTGGTGCAACAGTGCTGTATCTTTAACAGTGATACTCCATACTGAAATAACAAGTGGTTCACTGTGTTCACACTGGTGCCCCACATAGTTGTAAACTCACCGTCATTTCATGACCACGTATCTCTAGGTAAGTCCCACTCGCTTTTTGGCACTATCCCAGTTTGCAATCCGGTCCTGATGGCCGATATTCCTTCGCCCTTATAACCGTGTTTGCTGGTAGTAACCAATAACTTTCCCCTAGATCGGTATCAATGTTAGGCAACTTCTCTCCTCCACAGGCAGTATTTCATATTTTCAGCATAAATCAAAACAAAACCAGACATCCTATAGTGTAAAACTGTATAAAACTTTAATATGGTCTCAAACAATAGAAATGCGTCCTGAAGACTATCTATTGGTTGAAAGGCGTCAAGGGATTATGAAGCAACTTCCACTGACGTCACTTCCGGTATTTGGAATGCGGAGGCCATCTTAATTTCCATTCGTAATACACAAAGCTGAATATACCTAGTGCCAGGAAAGGCACTATTTTGTGAGTGGCATTTCTATTATCCTGCGTCCTGAAGACTATCTATTGGTCGGAAAGCGTCAAGGGCTTATGAAGCAACTTCCACTGATGTCACTTCCGGTATTTGGAACGCAGCGGCCATCTTAATTTCCATTCGTAATACACAAAGCTGAATATACCTAGTGCCAGGAAAGGCACTTTTTTGTGAGTGGCATTTCTATTATCCTGCGTCCTGAAGACTATCTATTGGTCGAAACGCGTCAAGGGCTTATGAAGCAACTTCCACTGACGTCACTTCCAGTATTTGGAACGCGGAGGCCATCTTAATTCCCATTCGTAATACACAAAGCTGAATATACCTAGTGCCTGGAAAGGCACTTTTTTGTGAGTGGCATTTCTATTGTTTGACCCCATATTAAAGTTTTATACAGTTTTACACTATAGGATGTCTGGTTTTGTTTTGATTTATGCTGAAAATATGAAATACTGCCTGTGGAGGAGAGGAGTTGCCTAACATTGATGCAGATCTAGTGGAAAGTTATTGGTTACTACCAACAACCACAGTTATAAGGGCAAAGGAATATCGGCCATCAGGACCGGATTGCAAACTGGGATAGTCCCAAAAAGTGAGTGTGACTTACCTAGAGATAGCTGGTCATGAAATGACGGTGAGTTTACATCTATGTGGGGCACCAGTGTGAACACAGTGAAGCACTTGTCATTTTAGTATGGAGTATCACCGTTAAAGATACAGCACCATTGCACCAATTATTCACATGTTGGGACTGAATATTAATATTTTATTTGTATTTTGCTCAGTGTTATCACTTTAAAGATTGCACAGTTTATTTAGTCAATTTGTGACCTTAGCACGGTCCATTTTTGAATATAAGATTTTGTATTTAGAAATTCACATTTAGGACTGCTGCTATATAGTTATCTTATATATAGTTAAATCTTTCACATATATGTAAAATATTTTTTTCCTAAGCGTAACAGCACCCTTTTTCTTTCAAACTAGTTTTGTATTGTATGAATCTATAGGCAGCAGGAATCAAATCTATAAGCCCATTTACACAGCTGTGTCTGGCAGCATAATGTTGAGCTGCAGTCAGCAATGTAAACATAAAAATAAATGTCCATGCACTGTGGACATGTAAAGATTTGTGCTACTGTTAGATGCAGACAGCATTAAGCCCCGCATCACACCGGTATGATTTATCATACGATTTGACACTTTCCAATCACATGACAAGTCACAACCTAATGTCAATGGAACTGTTTTTGCTGCACCGATTTTGAAAATAGTTCCTGTGCTATTTTCAGTGATTTTAGATGCGACTTGCACTGACATCTGTTCAAGACGTTGCACAGATGTCGGCAAGGCACATATGAAATCGCACCGAGTCTACTGCTTTAAAATCGCGCTACTTCAAGTGAAGTAGCACAATTTCAGTGTTGCATGTGGTGTGAACTGGGGCTAAAAGAGAGAAGTTTGGGAATAGAAAAAAAAATCCATTCATACTCAGACGGATGCAACCATTGATCCAGAAGCGGGGGGCATTTGTCTCCCCAGGCTTCTAAGATTGAGAACTGAATGATCAAAGACCACTGATCGATCGGTCTGTCAGTCACTGCCTCTGTGCTCTACCCCTTCAGCGCTCACAGGAAAGCCAATCTGTGCAGGGGGAGGGAGCAGCTGGCTCAGGCTCTCAGTGGCTTGCTGGTCCAGGCATCTGAGTAGATCCCAACGGTAAGTGAAGACTTTCAACAATTTCCTGCAATTTGGAGTGCGATTTCTATTATAGTCTATGTAAATAGCAACAAAACTGCAGAAAAAGTAATGCAAGACTTTAGAAATCACGCTGCAGCAAATTGCAAATGTTAAGACACTGACATTCACTAGAAGCGATTTCAATTCCCAAATTGCACCTGAAATCGCACCGGTATGACCGAGCACTAAAGTCAAGATCCTTGCAGAGGCTGGGCCAACTCTGTGATGTCAGCTGATAGCAGGCCGTAGTCCACTATCAGCTAAAAATGGGTCACAGGTGTGCAGAACGAAGTGCACTACTGTGGCCTACAGGTGAAGTAGGGCCAAAAGAGCATTGGCACTACTTCTCCTTTAACCACTAGGTTACAGGGCACTTATCACAACAATAAAGCAAAAGCAAGCCACCAAAAATGACACTAATTGTTAATGTCATAAGCACCTCTCCGACTCACTTGTACAAGTGTGGATACATAAACCCAGGGGACAGCATACTAAACAATATGATAGTGTGACAAGAACACGCCTATCTGAAAAAGAAGGTTTCTAAAAGATCCACGCGGAGTAGTATGAATTCAAATGAATTTAACAATACTTTATTTGATCACATAGATCATGGGGAGGTTAAACATGAGCACGGTGTACATATGAAAAAAATAAAATCATGTTTTAAAAACACTTAGCGTCTTCAATTTAGGGTCATCTTAGCCAACAGAGCACCATATAAGGCAGAGTAGTGTAATGATGGAATAGTTATCCTGGAATTCCGTAGGTTTCCTGCTTAATATTTGTGTGAACCGTATATTCAGTGGGTGTGTTCCCAGTATATGTCAGGGACCTCCTGGAATGTACAAGCTGGAACACAAAAATACATGGTATGTATCTAGCAATATGGAAACCAAATCACATCCAAAATTTACCAGGCCTCCCTCCACAATAGTCAATGGATACTGCTGTTACCTTCTCAGAGGTGAGACTATCATACCCGCCTCTCAAATGTAGGGACTTCCTGGATAGCCACCCCAAATGGAACAAGGTCCACAGTACCAAATGATTCTGAGGATATACATAGAAAAAGATAATAAATGTGTAGATCATGGGCATCAGGTAACCCCGAAAACAAAACACACATAGAGATGTGGATATATTACCATCAATGAGGATCAAGAAGACTCCTGTCGACTTGAACTAAGATCAGGTCCTTGATGCTTTTCCAAAGATGCATATGGGGGTGAGGAACCAGGTATACACGATGCGTGGATTTCAAACACATATAGTGTGTATATAGCATATAGCAGGCCGTAGATACCTGAATTTAATATACCCAGTAAAGGGTTTCCAAAAATTGCTCAATTTGAGAAGGTTATTTGCGGTTTTTATAAGGATGTGGCTATGTCACAGCAAAAAAAAATACCTGAATAGGATAGCGTATATATATATATATATATATGTAGATTCTCCTCCTAAGAGGATTTCCAAAAAATTCCCCGAGTATACAGGGTAAATTAGGCCCATACAACATACCCTATGAACACCATGTAGGCTCTGTAAATCTCAACAGCCGTAAGCTTTTAAATAACTTGCCACCGGTGGAAGATATGTTTCCCTGAGGGATTGCCGTTTGCGAACCGCTGTGATAATAGCCCAGTGGTAGTTCTTGGGCCTACCTAACAGGGAGCTGTGACACCGCCGTTCCTTCCCGCCTCGTGGGCGCCGCACCCTGTGAAGACGCCGAGCGTAGTGACGTCAATACGTTGACGCGTTTCGTCCGCCAATCACCGCAGACTTCGTCAGATCTTCGCGTGGATCTTTTAGAAACCTTCTTTTTCAGATAGGCGTGTTCTTGTCACACTATCATATTGTTTAGTACAGGGCACTTTTACCTTCCTGCCCAGGCCAATTTCCAGCTTTCAGCGCTGTCGCACTTTGAATGACAATTGCGCGGTCATGCAGCACTGTACCCATATGAAATTTTTATAATTTTTTTGTGACAGATAGAGCTTTATTTTGGTGGTATTTAATCACCTCTGGGATTTTGATTTTTTCTTAAACAAACCAAAAACCACTGAAAATTAAAAAAAAAAGTTTTTTCTTAGTTTTTATTATAAAATTTTTTAAATAAGTGATTTTTCTCCTTCACTGATGTGCGGTAATGAGGCTGCAGTGATGGGCACTGATAGGCTGCACTGATGAGGAGGCACTGGTAGGTGGCACTGATGGGCACTGACAGACATCACTGATGGGCACTAAAAGGTAGCACTCATATATGGCACTGATAGCTGGCACTGACTGGCAGTTAGGCGGCACTGATAGGCAGCACTGACTGGCACTGATTGGCAGCACTGATAGGTGGCACTGACTGGCACTGATGGGTGACACTGAAAGGCAGCTCAAATGGGCACTGATGTGCACTGGTAGGCACTGAAATGTGGCACTGATGGGCACTGGCAGGTGGCATGGATGAGCACTGACAGCTGGCACTGATGGACACTGACAAGTGGCACTGCTGGGGCTACACAGATCATCAGGGCACACTCAGAGCCGCGCATGTGCTCCCAGAGCCACGCATGTGCGGTTAGAATGGGAGGACGTCATGACGTCCTCCCAGAACGAGAGAACCGCCTTGCGCCCGTCATTGGACTATATGGCGGGCAGGAGGCGGTTAATGCACCTTATTGACCACCACCCCTGGTCAGGGCTGACATGTCAGTGTCAACCAGTAGCCATTGATGCCTGTGCCTGTGCCTGTGAGATGTCAACATCAATTGTGTATAATCAGCGGTGCAAGCACCACTGGCTATACATGACTGAGAATGACATGTCAGCCCTGAGCACTGGCAGCAGCCATTAGGGTGCATTAACTATGTACAAATGTAGCACAAATGTTTCATGCATACTTTAAAATAGGATGATGTCAGATTCAGTTAGCAAGTTACTGTGTATGCTCATCTGCTTGATTCCTTAAAGACTTCTCGACCGTCCTATAGCAGAAATACTGCTACAGGGTGGCACAAGTGTGCAAAATCACGTGTATATATACAGTTGCAAGAAAAAGTATGTGAACCCCTTGGGATTACGTGGAGTTTTGCATGAATTGGGCATAAAATGTTCTCTGAACGTCACCTAAGTCACAACAATAGAAGAACACAGTCTGCTGAACATAATACTACACAAACATTAGATGTTGCCATGGTTTAATTGCACATAACATGTAAACATTCACAGTGCAGGGAGGAAAAAGTATGTGAACCTTTGGACTTAATAACTGGTTGACCCTCCTTTGGCAGCAATAACCTCAACCAAACGTTTCCTGTAGTTGCAGATCAGACCTGCACAACGATCTGGAGTCATTTTGGACCACTCCTCTTCACAAAACTGTTTCAGTGTAGCAATATTCTTGGGATGTCTGGTGTGAATCGCTCTCTTAAGGTCATGCCACAGCATTTCAATCAGGTTGAGGTCAGGACTCTGACTGGGCCACTCCAGAAGGCGTATTCTGTGCTGGTGCAGCCATTGTTTTGTTGAATTACTTGTATGCTTTGGGTCATTGTCCTGTTGCATCACCCATCCTCTGCGGAGCTTCAGTTGGCGGACAGATGGTCGTACGGTTTCCTGCAAAATGTCTTGATAAACTCTGGAATTCATTTTCCCATCAATGACAACAATCAGTCCAGGCCCTGAGGCAGCAAAGCAGCCCCAAACCATGATGCTCCCTCCGCCATGTTTTACAGTGGGGATGAGGTTTTGATGTTGGTGTGCTGTGCCTTCTTTTCTCCACACATAGTGTTGTGTGTTCTTCCCAAACAACTCAGTCTTGGTTTCATCTGTCCACAGTATATTTTGCCAGTAGTGCTGCGGAACATCCAGGTGCTCTTTTGCAAACTTCAAACATGCTGCAATATTCTTTTTGGACAGCAATGGCTTCCTCCGTGGTGTCCTCCCATGTACTCCATTCTTGTTTAATGTTTTCCTTATTGTAGATGTGTCAACAAAAATGTTAGCATGTGCCAGAGATTTCTGTAGGTCTTTAGCTGACACTCTGGGATTCTTCTTTACCTCATGCAGCATTCTGCGCTGTGCTCTTGCAGTCATTTTTACAGGACGACCACGCCTAGGGAAAGTAGCAACAGTGCTAAACTTTCTCCATTTGTAGACTGTCTTACCGTGGACACATGAACATCAAGGCTTTTGGAGATACTTTTGTAACCCTTTCCAGCTTCATGCAAGTCAACAATTCTTGATCGTAGGTCTTCTGAGAGCTCTTTTCTGCGAGGCATGGTTCACATCAGACAGTGCTTCTTGAAACCAGTAAACCCAAAACAGGTGTGTGTTTTTTAAGGGCAGGACAGGTGTCAGCAACACATCCAATATCATCACACTGATTGGAGTCAAGGTTGGCTCACTCCTGGCTCCAATTAGCTCTGGGAGAAGTCATTAAGCTAGGGCCTCACATACTTTTTCCTCCCTGCACTGTGAATGTTTACATGTCATGTGCAATTAAACCATGGCAACATCTAATGTTTGTGTAGTATTATGTTCAGCAGACTGTGTTCTTCTATTGTTGTGACTTAGATGACGTTCAGAGCACATTTTATTCCCAATTCATGCAAAACTCCACGTAATCCCAAGGGGTTCACATACTTTTTCTTGCAACTGTACGTGATTTTGCACTTCTGGATAGGAAGTCAACTTGGGAAAACTGCTCTGGATGGCTGTGCACAGCACAGCCATCCAGAGCAGTGTGATTACAGATTACAGTGAAGCACCCTAGTAAAACACTCCCTGTACACAGTTAACCCTGTGATCGCCCCTCATGTTAACACTTTCCTGCCCAGTGCCATTAGTACAGTGTCAGTGCTTTTTTTTTAGCACTGATCACTCTATTGGTGTCACTGGGGATGTCAGTGACACAAAGTCAGTTCCCCCCAGTGTCAGAATGTCTGCCACAGTCCCGCTATAAGTCTCTGATTGCCGCCATTACTAGTAGAAAAAAAAAAATTCCAGTATATATACACCATTTTCAAACGCTATAACTTTCACGTAAACCAATTCATTTACACTTATTGGGTTTTTTTTTTAGCAAAGACATGTAGCGGAATACATTTTTGCCTAAATTTATGATAAAATTAGATTTTTTAAATTTTTTGTCTGGACATGTTTAATAGCAGAAAGTCAAAAATATTGTTTTTTTCTCAAAATTGTTGGACTTTTTTTTTTATAGCGCAAAAAATAGAAAACGCACAGGCAATCAAATACCACCAAAAGAAAGCTCAATTCGTGGGGTGCAGTGTTGCATGACTGCTAAATTGTCAGTTAAAGTAACATAGCACCGTAACGCAAAAAATGGCCTGGTCAGGAAGGGGGGTAAATCTTCAGGAGGGAACGTGGTTAAAGTCAACTTGGTGCCTTTCCCTGCCTCTACAAAGCTTTAGTTTACTTTAAGTGAAAATGTTTCCTTGCCAGATCTCCATGACCAAATAATTAATATCTGGGAGAAGCATTACCAGTTTGTTGAATCATGTGAATCAATTACATCTCTTTATAGAACATGTTTGGATCTTCATCCTGTTACTTCATATGTATGTATTATTATTCATGCTGACCCTCTTAATTTAATATTTAAAGTGTCACTAAACCCAGGACCCTGCATTCACTATATCTGGTCTCACACAGTACACAGAACATTGAAATGCAATTATTTTAGAAAATATCAACGGCTAAATACCTTTTCTTATCAGCAGTAAATAGCAGCCTTGTAACTTCTCTCAGTGTTCAGCTGAGCACTGCTTAAAGCTTGTAGGAGGATTTTGCATTCTCCCCTGATCGTCCTATGAGACTGTAGGACCCCTGACCCTCTGTCTGGACAGCGCTGATTGGCCCTGTGCTGATCACATGCACTCTCCCAAGAAAGAAAAACTCTAGCAATACACACCAAAATGAGCATGTGCAGCTTGTCTCCAAGGCTTTGTTCTTCAGGAGATGGATTGGGGACTGTGGAAGAAGGGGGGGATCAGAGAGGACAGGATCAAACATCCTTTTTACACAATGCAGAGGATTAACCCCTTAGGTTCCACAGTGAGTATAACAAGCATGCTTTACTGCATATACAGACTGATTTTATTGTTGTGGGTTTAGTAACACTTTAGGGTATGGACAAAGCTTGTTTTTAGTCATCTGACATATCTGTTCTAGTTTGGATGCTCAAAGGGTCAACATGACTCCAAGCAACTAGTTTGGAATGAGGTCAGCAAGGCGAGTATCTCTACATTCCCTTTACAGTAAATCTGTCATTGCAAAGTGGCTCAGGAGCACTTGCCATATTGTACAAGTATGCACAGCATAGTGTCACATAATGGAAGACTTTCCCCTTAGTTTGCCATCCTCCATGATAACAGGTCCACACTCTTTATCACTGCTATCTTCTCCTGTTCTTCTTCCAGACCAGTGTCTTCTTTCTTCTGCCATTGGGCAGCCATTGGTGATGTAACAGCTGCTCATGTGTGATGCAGTTACATGATCTTGGCTTTCTGCATCCATCCATTCTATACAATTATGTTGTCTGGTCAAAGCAGTCATATGATACAGACAGGGCCATTCACAGCCCATCTTTATCATGTGATCCGCTTTGCCCAATCACAGCAAATTACAACAAAAGACTGAATGAATCCATTTCATTCAGTAAAAATGACTGCTAATACCAATGTATTTCATGGATGTTTGCAAAAAAGAAAAAACCTGATCACTTCCCCAGAGTAGTTTAATGTTACTATGGTAACATTGTATTGCTTTGGTCACAGTGTGTTGAAAAATAAATAGTAAAAAAAATAAAAAATAATGTAAAAAAAAAAAAAAAAAGAAAACTTTGAAAAAAATTACAAATTAAATTATTTTTATTATTTTCACCAAAAGAAATGTAGCAGAATACATTTTGACCTAAATTTATGCAGAAATGTTATTTATTTGCAAAATTTTATAAAAGAAACGAAGAAAAGTGAGTTTTTTTGGGGTTTTTTTTTCAAAAGTTTCAGGTTTTTTTGTTTTATTTAGTAAAAAATAAAAAACTCAGTGATTATTAAATACCACCAAAAGAAAGCTCTATGTGTGAAACAAATTCTAAAAATTTCATATGGGTACAGTGTTGCATGACCACGCAATTATCATTCAAAGTGTGACAGCGCTGAAAGCTGAAAATTGGCCTGGACAGGAAGGGGGTATAAGTGCCCTGTATTGATGTGGTTAACATCCATTCTATTATTTAGACCAAAAGGGACCCTGGTATTGAGCATGTGAATCCTCCAAATAAAGTCTATGAAGCCAAAAATGCCCGAATCTTCTTCAAACGTAGCTTGTGTACCATTTGGAGCATTGGGTATTGAGCTCCAGCAGTGCTCATATGTGAATACCGACTATTTAAAGACCAAACACTTGGATACTGGTAGCAGTTGATTACCCCAGTAGAAATGGGCAGCAGCTGCTTTGCTTAGCTTTGAGAATAAACAAGTGTGAACCTAGCCTTAACCGCGTTAACACTTCCATACTGCCTGCAATGTGCTGGGTAATTAAAACAATGGCAGGTGGATGGCACACAGGGGCGGACTGACCATTTGGAAACTCGGGCACTGCCTGAGGGCCCGGGGTCAGTAGGGGGCTCCATGAGATGCCCCTGGTACCTTTTTCATAGGCTTTTTTGAGTTTGGGCAAGGACACAGGGGCCCCATGATCCCCTATTGCCCGGGGGCCCCATGAGTTGTCAGTC